GGGCCTGAAGCTAGTCTCCAGATGCAGACCATGCACGGAAGACAGTCGTTCCGATGCATGGTCTGCCTCAAATTTGGAGACCTTGGCTTGTAAGCTCGAGCCATCCCAGAATGGAAAAGCGATGACGCAAATCAGCCAGCGAGCGTCATGCTCATCACGCAAGGAAGCCTGTGGCGAACCGAACGTGACCAGAATTCACCCGAACCTCGTCGGGCGCGTTTTTCCCCCTCCCCCACCGTCGACCTTCATAGCACAAGCTGTATCACATACTGAGGTAACATTGAACTAGAGAGCATGCCATCAGCCAGAAGGGTGCAAACGTAGTGGAAATCGTAACGGGATGCCGGATTGCGCTACCACACCATCTTGAGTGTTCCCGCCTGTGACCTCTTCCGATTTCGCTGACGCGCTCAGCGCTGACGCTGGCTCATGACGCGCGCGAGATGTGTCAGCTAACCGCTCCTTTTTGGGAAAGCCGGATCTTACAAGCCAAGCTCTCCAAATTTGATGCAGACTAGCCTGAAGCTTGAAGCTTGAAGTGTCACGCGTCACAGCTGGATTCCTCAATCATTAACCATTCCTGCTTGATGACTGGAGTCCCATAAGAGGAATCACGGTATATCATTTTTCCCTGTTACGGGCAGATGTTGCACTCTATCATACGACGCTCAGACTTGCTAGTCCGAATAGCCTGATGACCGTCCGTTGACAGGAAGATGCGCTGTGGTTGAGGACAAGCACGGGAACTTTCGACGCGCTTGACCATGCCGTACGGCGCAGCGCGACTTCAGCATGTCGCTACTCTCGCTCTTCCAACCGTGCCACCACTGTCGCAGTTGGTCTCTCCGCTGTGCCTGCTCATAATAGGTCTAAAACTCCTCGCGCTTTCCCCAAGGTTTCAGAACCAAAATCGAATCCCGGTCTCTCTGCAACACGCAGAATAAAGCTCACCGAACGTGTTGCATCATTGACAATCTCTCCTCCACACACATGACAACCACTTTGCCCACCTTGGCTCCGCCTTCAACGATCATAAAACGTCAAGCTTCTCCTACACCTATCGTCGAGCTTCACGTTACACCTCCATCTCTGCCCCCACCTCCGGCCCCTCGTCCCGCCATCAGCCATGGACACCGCATCAACATCCGAACGGACCCGTTCATCCAGCCACCCTACCTCGCCGAGCCCGTTCCGACCGAAGATGGCGGATTCATCTACTATTCGTGCCGCCCCGGTGGCCCGCGCCTCTATGACTATCTGATGGTCTTATCTCTAAAGCCTTATGGGCTCATGCGGTGGCAGGTAGAAGAGGCCGAGGCGCATATATTGGGGAGCGAGGGCTTGAGCGATGTCGGGAAGTGTATGCATGCACTTCATAATCGATGGGTGTTCTTGCACGAGTGCGTTGGTTTTTCTTTAATCTTCTGTCACGTCTTGCTAAACGCGGATGCAGACTACTGATGTACGTCGATCCTGCAAAGTGCATCGCGGACTTCGTGCACTCTTGGTGGCATCACATCTACAACATGGTGGGACTGAAAGTCCTCACGCATTATCTCAGTGTGCGTACTCTTTTTCGCATCTCGTTATTACATTCTTGGCGGCTCGCGTTAAACTGCCACAGGAGTTCCAGCACGCGAAACTCATCACAGTGAGACAAGCAGCCGACATATGCTTTCAGTATCGCGCCGATGTCAAAGCCGGCACGGCCGAAGATGGGTCTGTTCTTGCTCCTGATCGCGCGCGTCAGCCGGACGTAGCAGGGGCTTGAGATTTGAGGACATCCCGTCACACCTTGCTACCTCGCGTCGATCTAGGCTGCGCCAATTGTGTTTTCTTTCTTCCTTGCTACTCCCCCATCTTGCATGGCCTGTCCATTTCAACCCCATGGCCTTCCATCATTGTGATAGTAGCGAGAGTGCTTAATGCACGGCGGATTGCATGAAAACGAGCGAGGCAATGCAGTGCAATAATGCCATCAAGGTGTGCGAAGCACAGATGGCCACATCGTGTGCGATAGTTAGCAAAAGACCCACGACACGAGTACGACAGTGCGACAGTATTGACGCTGCGCCCATGCGAGCAAGCTCTTTGCCACCACGCTCTCCTGCAACTTCGACCCCGCCTCCGAGCACGCTCGAGGGCGCAGCAGTGTCATTGATGGAAGCACAGGCATTCGAGATCGAGATCAAATCATGGCTGCGGCACCCGCCTTCTCCAGCAACCGCTTCTCGCCTCAACGCTGCACGAGCGACTCCGGGGGCCAGGGCCGGGGCTGCCAGGCAGGGCGTCGGACAAGCGATGTAGCCGTTCATGCACACCGCACGCATCGCCGTCTCTTTTGTCTTTTATTTAACTCAACAATATTTATAGAGCGCCGCCCGAAGGGCTAGGGGCGCCAGGTGTAAAGTGCTGTAGGTAGACTGGTCCGATAGTCGGGAATGGGTAAGAACCTTCTGGGGGGCAGACTGTCCCTTCTGTCGCAGGCGCCGTTCGCTGATCAATGACCCGGCCGAACCGCGGCCGTAACTTCGTCGGAATCTGGGTGAGCGCTCAGGCTCTTCCTGGGGCGGTTGCTGACAGCAGCAGCAGCAGCAGCGAGATGCCGATGGGCGAGGCAGTCGTTGCATGCGCACTCCTACCCTCGAGTTCGGTTGCCCGAGTGCTGTGGTTGCCGGCTAGTCCGAGGCCGAACTCGCGCGCCGCGGCAGACATCGGCCCGACGAGGGCCTACCGCATCCCCGCCCTGCGCTCGAGCAGCGTACACGATGGCCAGGGCACCGTCCCGGCATGGCCATAGACCTTCGATAGCCTCCTCCGGGGGAGATAATACCCGGTAAAGTAGCAGGAAATAGTTTCGTGATTTCCCAAACCTTTCCCACGCCTCGACAGCGGCTATAATTGATTCTCGTGTATAGAAGTTATTAGGACTATACCATTCCAATCAAAGCCCCTGCAAACGGTTTGTTTCACGTTGAGCGTCCGTAGCCTACATAGCGTTCCATGGCCCGGTCGGTCGAGGGGCAAGACGCTCTGAGACCGTAATAGTCTCTTAACCAGCCTGCTCTCGCATGGATTGGTGGGTGGAGGGCCCTGCGATAGCAGAGTTCTCCCTCCCCTCTCATGCGGTAGCAGACTGGTTTCGAGGCTACTGAGACCGCACCTACGTCCAGCCGAGCGCAGCGTGGGTGTTTCTTGCGTGTCGTTTCCTCTCGACCGCCACCGCCGCAATTTTCGCGTTGGCGTCTCCACGTACTCTACACACGGCTTAATATCTCGTTTCTCTGTCCCTCCCTTACCCTCCCACGTCACGTACACCACTCGTCTCACCACCTCGATTCTCTAACTTGTACCGTACTCAACCCGCATGCTGTATCATAACCATCGTAGCTCAAATACATCGCAGTCCAAATACATATGTTTGCGAGCTTCCCATTAGCCAGACCACTCTCGTGGGTTCCTGTCTCCCGAATCGTGGCCGTGAGGATCCCACCCACCCGGGCGACTGCACTCCTCATGCCGCGTCCGCGTCGGCTGTCGTCGATGTTCACCCAACCTGCGGGGAGCAGGAAACCCCGCGGGCAGACGAAGCTGGAATGTCCTGCAGAGCTCGCGCCTGGCGGCCGAGGCATGGGAAAGGTTCGGGAAATCAAGAAACTACTTTGCCGGGTATTATCTCCCCCGGAGGAGGCTATCGAAGGTCTATGGCCATGCCGGGACGGTGACCTGGCCATCGTGTACGCTGCTGGAGCGCAGGGCGGGGATGCGGTCGGCCCTTGTCGGGCCGATGTCTGCCGCGGCGCGCGAGTTCGGCCTCGGACTAGCCGGCAACCGTACGCCGGCCATTCCTCATCACTCCCCGGTGGAAAGGAGCTGCATATCTCTCCAAAAGCGAGCGAATAAGCGCACCATTTCCCCAATGAATGCCGCTCCTACTTCATGACCATGGACAACGTACGAGCACTCTAATTGAACCGGGAGCTTTGTGTTATATGTCTCAATGCAGAGCTATATCCAGGATATGCACGTTTTGCTCGCCAGTCCGCTGCATGCAGTGACCCCTCGAAGGCCGCTGGTCTGGAGACCAGTGGAAGGTCGCGCTGTTCTAACCCGGCGATCACCGATCACATTCAACAGGATCACATGAACAGAGCGCCGAACCGTCTTGCGGCTCTTTCTCGCTCGATGACGAGCGAGCGAGCGAGCGGGGCTCATAGCCCTCAGGGGAAGGATAGGGCACCAGTCACTCTTCCTGTGTCAGTGATAGCTAATTTCATCGTGTGATCTCGGAGCGAAAGTTCCCCAAGCGAGGGACGAGCCCGAAGCTAGAATGAGGATGAAGAGTTTGTCGCCCCTGTAGGCCGTGCGTGAGGGCGACGGCGCACCCCCACACGACTAAGCCCGGCGATGGAGAGAAGAGAGGTGTGTTTCCGTCTTTTATTCGTTCTCGCTTAGCCGAAACTCCATCAAAGGGAGCTCGTGGGGTGCCACAGCTGGCGTGGCGCAAGTTGCCGCTTCGCGCGGAATCCGAACGACCGGGACACCCTTCACGAACCTCACAGGTCGTTATTTTGCACAGTGCCCTCAGCCGGCCAGTGCCTCATGCTTTGCGCCTCATGTAGAATGCCTTTCGTATTGCCGATCTCATGCCCTCAACCGCGTCACACAGGACGGATGGCTACCGCCCGTGGAGCGGCGCTGGATTGGCATGCGAAGCTGCCACTCACATCGACCTGCTCACCGAGGTCTAAAGCCCGCTGTCGCTGATCTGACCAATGCATCGAGCTCTCACCAAAGGGCCATCCTGGGCTATTTCAACTCGAGGAAGCACCGCGAACGACTTCTGCAAAAAGCCTGCAAAGGAGCAGGGCTCGGCGTTGTAAAAGAACTCGCAGCGCCGCCCCAAATGTCGGTCCAGTAGAAGAAGGCAGCGGAGCTGACTGCACGCCTCATTCCGGTTGCAGGTGTGCTGATGACTAGTAGGCCTGCCACAAGCCTATAACTTAGTAATGCATGTGGGTAGGGTCAGAAAAACGCCGGTATCCCAGTCGAGCTGCCTTCACCCGCCGATTAGCCCCTCCCCAAGCCTCGATGCGGCTTGCCGAGCAATGCAGTCAATTGCAGAGCGCTTGTAGGCATAGCCATCGGCGATGCTAATAAAATAAATCTGCTTCCACCGCCGCCCTATGCCCATAGCGTCTCCAAACAATCGCCGGATGCGTTTGCTCCTGACCCGGCTCACCATCCGCTCGGCGTGCCGCTCCAATGCCCCGGCCTCAAGAGAGATGTTGCGGCTACTCTGAAGCGCGCGCATGTCGGTCAGTCTCGGCTGCCATGTTCGTGTAAAGTTTGATTGCATCTGCGCTTCAGTTGTAAGTTGCATATTCGAGCACGCGGCCTCGCGTCAAGCTTCGCAACGCTGGTGAGTTCGTGGCAAGATAGCGCCTGGGCGCACCCATTAGACTTCGTCACCGCATCAACAACTTTATTCTGGCACCTATGAGAACCCGTACAATCTTCTCCCGTTTGGGACCCCTTTCATGTCATCTCCGCATTTTGTATCTACTGTTCTTGCCGAAGACCGAATGCTCTCGCATTGCGAAGTTCGAAAGTTGTCTCCATTCACGACGGGCCTGAAGTAGAGGCCTTACGATAAGATGCTTGTCAAAGGCTAGACCCTCGGTGCATATTTCGTTTCGCAGCCAGTTTTCACGGTTCAAGCTGAGAACACCGCTCTGATTATGGATAACTGCGCTCTTGTGGTCTTATTTACAGCCGTTTTCAATGAAGTGCGGAAACGCAAATCGCGTCGACGCGCCTCGGAAGCACGGCCCAGAGCCGACGCGTCCCCAGGTTCGATCCCGAGCTCCCGACAAACTATTACTTGCATCGTATTTATGCTCAGATCTCCTAGCACCTCTGACAGTAAGTTCAATAATCCTTCGGGACAGTGCACCGAATTTTTGCGCGCTGACTTATAGGCCTAGGGAAAAGGAATAAACCATACAGTTGAGTGGGAGCGCTGGGAATCGAACCCGCTCCATCGTGGAGGCGCATTTGCCGCTGGCCCACGCTTTCTGGGAGGTCGCGGCGCGATTCGCGATTCCGCACTTCATTGAAAACGGCTGTAATCGCTCTGGACCCCAATTCGACTTTCTATCGTTGCTGCGAACTATCTCATTCATGATCGCACGAAAGCACCCACTCGGGGCATTACATTACGTCATGGATAGCTCAGCGCTGGCGTATCATGCTTGAGTGACAATGAATAGTTGGATGTCTGAAATAGACCATTTCCATCTACATCTTCGAGACAGTCGCACCAGTGAATATCGGAAGCTCAAGCCTTCCATAGACGTATCATCTAGCCGACCTCAAAGAGTGAGCTGCATACTGTAATTCTTCTCCGCTAGGATAACGATATCAATATCTGTGCACTAATGCATGGTGTTCGCATGATGGCAGTCCCGCATCATCTTCACTTTCGTCGCCCGGATTGGCCGTGAATGCGTGAGAAAAAGCAAGAAGCCGGCGGCCGCGGCCGTCGTACTGAAGTCAAGGGGTTTTGAGCAACGACCGCTTCACGCGCGCCTTCCCCGGACCCCGTTCTGTTCTCCGGTCTCTGAACTGCGAAGCGTCCATCAATGGCTTCCTCTCAGAGCCATGGACTTACTCTTGTCGCCGATGCTGAGGCGAAGGTGAACAGCAAAGAAGTCGGCACCAGCCACGTTGACGAAGCGAATCAACGCTTAAATGTGCGTGTCATTGAATGCCATAAGCTTGCGTACATTTCTCAGACCAGAATTCAGAAATCGATCATTGCAGTCCAAGGGGATGGACGTTTCGAGTCCCCGTCGACTTTGCCGGTCTGGAAAGACCGGCAAAGTTGGCATGCCGATGTTACCGAAATTACTACCATCACAAACAAGAAGACGGGACTCGTCGTGATCTTCAGACTGTATGACCCGTCATTATCTCGCCACTGCCCGCCTCAATCTCATACGTGGCTTAGCTGCGGCATCGACTTACCTTGTCGCGAACCTTTCTCCGTTTGTAGGGAGCGCTTCCGAGAGAAGGTGTGGTGTGCCGCATGATTCACAGTTTATTGTCAGGCTGATTCATAAATGGTAGTTGCTCGACTTCTTTGAGTGGAACATATACTGCCCCCTCGCGACTGCCGAGGGCTGTTGCCCGGTCGCGGCCTCACCTGAGACAAGAAGTTCGAAGACCAGGTCGTCGTAGCAGCCTCCCCTTGCCGTGGTAATGCGAGAAGGCGCAGGTGTACAGGGCAGCATCGAAAGCCGCCAAGTTACTTCGTGCGTCTCGGTCTGGCGCTCAACCTCTCGGCCGACTGCGCTTGCTATCTCACGATGCAGACACTTGGCGAGGCCATCTCTAAGCTCAACGTCCTCTCTGACGAGTCCTGTAAATGCTACAAGTTTATGCACCTTCTCCATCAAGATCTTATCCTATACACGACCGACGTGTACGGCAGGGACGAGGAGGCGCCGGCACCGGCAGCCGAGTTAAGCTGTGCTCGATCTTCACCCCATTTTGAGCTTAATATTGGAACTTCGTGCCATTGCCTGCCCCCTCAACGACCGTACCTCCCGATTTTCACATGTCGCGTGTCTCTGCCCCCGCCCTGACCTTGTTGAATGAAGATAGATGCAGTACTTCAATGACTCTCGTGCGCTGTGTGAACTGATGTGCATGAGTTTGCGATTGCACCGCTTCAGGTGGGTTCTCCAATGTGGGATTTACGAGAGATTACATTGTTTCTTTCGATTCAGTCTCCTCACCTTATGCTGCCCTGTCTCCTTTCCTTATTCTATTCTCCCTGCTAGTCCGATCTTTCCTTCCCATGTACATCACAGGCTCTGCCATTTGCTGTATTCATTTGGCGTTATGCTTCATATCTACTGTGCTATGGTCTGCTCTTCATTGCAGGCTTCGCACTGTCGCTTTCATCCGGTCCCGGAGCTCTCCCCCAATTTCATCGCAGTTCCCCGGCATTTACCGCGTTCTTGGTTGACTGTTTGTAGTATTCTCCGCCTGAAGCGCCAGCAATCCGAATCATCGCTGTTGGCTACTATACAGCTTGGTAAACGAAGTCATCATCTCCATCGATCCTTTTTACCGCAATTTTCGTGAGCGCCATGGGCTGCTGCACTTGAAGCAGTGCGGGTTGATCAGCCTCGCGTCGTGGTTTACACGGAGGCCTGGATAACGGCTGACATGGTATGGGGAAGAGAAACGGCCGAGGATTTTCTAGAGGGTTAACGCGAGCGGCGAGCACTACGCTCCGCATGCTCGTCCGTGGGCTTTGTGTGCGCTCAACCTGTGAAAAAGAGCATACGAGCCTCGTGTGCTACAAGGCTCTTGACGGCCAAGCCGTAATGAGGTCGACCGAGCACGATCACGCAGCGATGCATGCCCTCGACTGAGCTCCACCAAGCTCAATCTCCATCGAGGAGCATCGAGCCTCATCACGGACGAAAAGGAAGCACATCGCGACCTAGCAATTGTATATCATAGACCGAGTCCCAACACCTCATAACCACTATTCAATATGATGTGAAGCTTGCAGTCCGAACGAAGTCCGAGAAGCGTGTCTCAGGGAGGTTGACGCTGCTGTGACGATGACTGTGATGGCGAAGTTGTAGACTGTGGACGGGGTAGAGATATGGTAGGGAGTTGAGCAGAAGGGAGTGTAGCAGGGGGTGATGCGGAGAAGTTCGTAGCGCCGGTTCTACTTTCGACGTTGCGGGGACGCTTCGCAGAAGTCGGGGCTTCTTCGATCATACCCGGCCGCTTCCTGGGTATAGGGGGAGATGTAGCTGACCGAAGTCAGTGCCCCGCTTTCCTCAAGTCGGTAACTATGACTTACTTCTTTGTTCGTCCCCAGTCACTTGCATAGGTAGCGGTGCCCGGATAAGAGATGGTGTTGGGGGAGGAGGTTGGACGGCGAGGGTGAAAGTCGAGGGGAGGGTAGGTGCAAAAGCTGGCGATGTGTCCGCGATCGCGGTTGGTGGTAAAGATGGAAGGAACGTCGATTTGGCTGCGTTGGTGTGTGTTAATGCAGCTAGAGTCTGTGGGGCCAGAGAAGGAGAGTAAGAAGATGGCGCGTAAAGCAACCGACCCGATGCCGGTGCTGATGGAGGGGTCGGTGGAATGGGAGGGAGCTGCCCTGTCTGCAACTTTGGAGGCGAACCATATGGCGAAGGTGAAATAGTCTGCTTCAAGATCCCTACATGAGGCTCTGACAAGGTATGTCAGTAACTTAGCATTGCATCAGAACGGCCGTGGGTGAACGTACCAATACCAGAGGGCTTGGAACTTGTACTCTGACTTGTATTCGATCGAGTATATGGTAGAGGCTGAGGGGGCTCATTCTCGCGTGGGTGAGCGGGCAAGGGTGGCGGCGGCGGTGGCGGCGGTACCTCATTGGCACCAAGACAGGCAAGGATCCGGTCCATCTTCGCATCGAGGTCCGCTATGGACTTAAGTAAAGGCTGGACCTTTCGGGTAAAGACCTGCTCAGCGGCGATCTCCAATGCGGGAGTCAACTTGCTCTCGACCATTGTACACATGATCCGCTCGATCGTCTGTTCCGACGTTTCAACAACACGTTCCATAGTCTCACTGACAGCGGATTCCCTGGCTTCCTCTGCAACAGACTGAACGTGATGAGCGATGCTCCGGTCGAGAATGTTGTCCGCGATATGGCGAGTAGTGGCATCCATGGTGCGCTCGATCGTGGTCTCCAAAGCCACACCAAGAGCCTCCTGAAGAGCATCTCCGAAGTTGCTAGCACGTCCATTGAGAGTCGTGAAATGAGAACCGAACGGTTCCATAGGCAATGGCTCGGAACTTATGGCACCTGGCTTGAACTGCGTATAAAATGCCATCCCCAGAGTCGTCTCTGGACCTTGGTTGCCTGAATGTGGGGGTCTTAAGTTTGGTAACTTGACATGAATGCGGGAGCCGGGGTGTACAACGCACCAGGAACAACATGCAAATCCCCATGCCATTGTATCTCCCTCCAACGGTGTATAACGGTCGCATCTTCACCAATCCCACCATTCATGCCGTTAGTTGATGGGCCATACTGCCTATGTATCTTCTCTTCATGTCCCATCCTTTTTGCATCTTCCAACACAATGGACGGCAGTGCCAGAGCAGCATCGTTTCCTCTGCCAATCATGGCCATCAAACCCGGATTTCGCCAGCGCATCCAAGCAGCCATGCAATGGCGTGTGTCATTGGTTCCAAGCTTGTGTAAAGGGCCAAGAACACGGCTCGACATAAGGTTGAGCGCAAGAGTGAGGTCATTGGTCTTGAACTTGCGATCGATGTTGACGAATAGATGTGTGTCATAAAGATACACGATCTCATCTCGTCGTGGGTCATCAGCATATAGCAGCCGTGCAAGGTGCTTAGCTAAAGGCCGTATGAAGCGGAAATCCAGTAGGAAATACTGTTTTGTCCACTCATCGACTGCTTGCGTCAGGTTGCTATCGCCGAGGAGGTGCGACATCTTGCTGTATCTGCGAAGTAGATACATGTACTCGCCCTGCACATATACACTTCGCGGTGCTGTGACAGTGTCGATCGTCTATCATTGACAAGATGGGAACATCAGCCAAAGTCGAAGGGGTTTAATATGAGCAATTTACCTGCATCGCAGTGAGTTCCGTGCCCCTTGCCGGCCCGCAAGTAGTGATCTGGACAGTCCCCATGACTTCCATCTGCAGCTGTTTATAAGCCATAAGGAACTGGCCAGCCTTCTCCCGTTTCAGCCTTGGGACACCATCAGCATCGACCCCGAAAAACTCCTCGAATGCGCCGGCCTCGAACATGCCATCTTGCATCAGAATGAGGCTATCTGGATCGTAGAGAGCGGAGAACTCGTTCTCGTTATCTCCTCCCAATATGTGCGGAGGCTCAGGGTGATTGAGCCTCGGGCGTGCGAAGTTATAGCCGAGGTCATGATGATTCACATCATCGGTGAGCTTGCCCGAAGGAGGCGGCGCCATGCCGAAAAGAAGCTGACCCTTTAGAAGACCAGCTTGAACTTCCTGGCTCCTGTGCAACATGAGCCTTACATCGTCGAACTTGATGCGTGTGTTCTTGTAAAGCATGCACTGGCCCTCCTTCACCCAAGTGATGCGAGGAATAGGCAGCGAGCGCAGTGCAATGCCACTGGATATGTGCACTAGCCGACGCACAGTGCGAAACGGAGTGCTTTCAACTGTTTCGGTGAACCAGGGCCTCCTCTGCTGGATGTGATGAAATACGCGCTGCCCGAATTCGAAGCGAGGTTCGCCTTGCGCCAGTTGTTCATCCCTTTTCGCTAGTTTATGAGCCTCGTAGATGAACAGGAGCCGCTGGAGTGGGATGAGACAACTATCATGGCGATGGAACATTTTGAGAGAGGACATACCATAAGGGTGACAATGTGAGTGAAGGTCCCAGTCGACCTACGAGCTTCACCGAAGATGCCCGTTTTCTCGTCGATCGAGTGGAGTATTGCCACCATTTCTGTCGGGTCAGGGTGGGAGTTTGTCCTTGAAATCGACCAACGGCGCGTCCATAATGCCTTCAGTATCTTATAGCAAAGTTGGACACCCTTCTCTCTATCGAGATTGGAGGTTGCATTTGCTAGGTCTTCCTCCTGAGTGAGAGATAGGCTTCAGCTATGGTGACGTATCAGAACAAAAGCACAGTACCTCAGGGGTTTCATCATCTTCCGAATCACTGTCGACATCCTCTTCATCGGCGCCTGCATCGTCTTCCTCGTCACTGCCCCAATCATCACCGGTCTCCTCATCCTCCCCGATCTCGCTCTCTCGGTCACTGTGGTAGTAGCCATAATCGCTCCCGCCATCTTCATCATCACCAGAGTCCTGGACCTCATCTTCCTCATCTGTGCTCCTTTGCACACTCTCCTGATCCAAGGCAGGGCTTGACGAATACCCAGTGAGAAGCTCATATAGCTCATCGACTAAATCAAGAATATCGGGCGGTAGTTCAAACCGGATCCCATCCCATTTTGTCCGATTCACTTGACTAGGCTCAAGGCGGTTGTTATCGCGGGTGCGAAGAAGCGAAACCACGACTCGAACGGCTTCATGCACATAAACCGACAGAGTCTTAGACTCTTGAAAGATTTTCATGGGGGTGTGACTCCAAGGCCTGCAATTTGAAGTCAGATTCTTCAGCTATAAGGGTGGAGTAGCATGAAATGCATACTGGGCTGGGTCCGTGGTCATGAGTAAGCATCGGGCAGACTCAGGGGTCTTCAAGACCAAGTCATAGGCCTCGGAGAAGAGTTGAAGCATCAACAATCGCAAGCTGAAGAACTCATCTCCACGAGATGGCAGCTTGGGTACTTTCGAGCATACGAGCGTGTCGTGACCATCGAGGGCACCGCCCCATCCGCTCGTGCGCAGCCAAGTTGTGAATGACCTCGGTTCAATCCTCTCGCCATTGAGACGGGAGCGATGAACCGCATCTTGACGTAAGGCTTCTAGCGCCTCACATAAGACTCGCTGCATTGCGTCTGACATGCGCACTTGGCGAGGAGTAACTTCGAACCAAGTTCGTCCTCCCGGCTGCGACGAGAACCGTTGTTGGGAGGTAGTGCGTAGATTCGCCCCAGTACAGCTTCCTCCTGAGCCAACATGCGGCCTCCCTGTTCTGAGCTCTCTAAAGCATCTATGACATCGCGAGCAAGTCAGACCCACTCGTATCTTGAGCCCCTCAAACTGGAGAGGCACGTCGGATGGCTTGGGCGGACGCGGAAATTTTGTCTTCGTGTCTATGGCGTAGGTTTTGACGACGTCGTTCACAGACTGAACGAAACTGGGTTTCTTGGGCAGGTAGCCTTTCATAGCCTTGTGCTGTGCTGACAAGTGCGCCCAAATCTCCTTGGGCTCCAAGCAACGCCCATGAGTGCGGCACAGGATCCGCTTTATTCGTCGGTGCACGACGAGGTCGAACTTGTCGAGCATTGGAGGATATAATAGCTTTATGTGCATGGAATGAATATGACAATGATCCGACACAGAAAACTGGAGCATGACTGACCTCGGTCCGCTCTTGCGCTTGTCGATCCTGATTTGTCGATAATGAAGCGCCCTCCTAAAGTGTGTCAATGACCATTAGAGGGTCCCGGGGGATGAAACATACGGTAACTGAGGAAGATCTCTCTCGAACCGAGCCATAACCTCCCTCTCCCTCTCCCTCTCCCTCTCCCTCATCCGCATCTTCGTCGCCATCATCCCTTACTGAACTACGTGAACGCCCGGCGTTTCTCAAGCGAGGGCCCGTCTCCTGGGTGAGACCCGAGGTGAGACCCGATGCTACGCTCTCGTAAGGCGAGCTTTCAGCCAGCGCAGCAGGCCTTGCAAGATCCCGCCCCTTTTCATAGTCATCCCATGATGAGTAAACTTCCGATAGGGAGACATTGGGATATTGCTGAAACATAACATTGATTAATTTCCAGCATGAGCAAATATTTTACTGCATATAGGCCTACCTGACGCAGGTCTCGAATGCTGAGGTAGCCCTTTGAATCGGTTAGATGCCGAGCAAGATTCGAGCGAGTGGTCGCCGTTTTCGAGCAGATATTGCCCGAGTTGTCGATGCACAGGCAGCGGAAGACCGGCTGGTTGCACTTGTCTTTCCCAATAAAGAACTGCACGGCGTGTACGCGACGGCCGTGGGGGAAATCGACGGACAAGAGCCTTTTGCAGTAATTGGTGGAGTGGTTTTGACTGGCGGAGCCGCAACACGAAGATACCATGACAATGAAATTCGAATCACTGCTTCGAGCAAGTGTTGAGGAGTAAACTGCCGGCAAGATGGAAAGGAGAGGTGAAGGGAAGCGCTAAGCGCCTCTACCAACGCGCGCGCCGCGACCAACCTCCGAAATTACCGTGTCCGCGCAAGGTTGACCAATTCCCAGTGAGTTCGGGCCACCCTCCGGTATGTCTATGATTTCTACGCTTATCTTGCCCATCAGTCACCCAACGTACGTTGTCAAGTGCATACGAATATATTCTGAAGGTATCGTACGGCATGTTACAGCCCGACTGAGGCGCGCAACAGTGTATTGCCGTGCAACTAGGCTATTTCGACCTTCTTTGCTCTTTGCGTGGAGACTACGGCTTCTTCAGATATCAAGGAGGTTGCGCCTGAACTTGTGCATGTATGCAAGTTCGTGCTCGAGTCCGTCGGCCGCGCTGTAAAGGGGCCCGCACCGAGTGACCGCGATGGTCTCCGCGCACCATACGGCCTCGAGAGGCATGCGCCGTGGTAGTTCAACGAAGGCGCCTCAGATGGCCCCTTGGATGACCTTCGTATGGCCAGTCTCCATGCAGAAAAGTTAGTACTCGGACGACCCCTTCGCCCAGCATTCGCGTGTCGCGTGGGCGAGTATTGATTCTACGCACGCGATTTCATGGTGTATTGGCCAATTCTCCTAACATCTCAGAACATTGGAACATTGGGTCCAGCCAGCTCTTGGTCATCGTTTTGAGATTGGGGGGGTGGACGACAGGGAATGAGAGTCGCAGCCGCGCGCATGCACACGCACGTCGCCGCATCGGCTTCCTTTCCCGAATGACGAGGTGCAGGTCGGCTGTGTGGCTTCCGACACTCGCCGCCGCATCGCATTCGGCACCGTCACCGTTCTAGGCCCCCGAAAGAGAGCTTGTTGCGAGATGAAGTAAGTCACCCACCTTCGCTTCAGAAGGCTCGCGATGCTGGCGACGAGGGCGTCATGCGGTGCCCGCGACGTCTCGAAGGACTTCTTCATCTACCCCACCGTCTCCAGTCGTCTTCACGAAGGACCCGCGATCGGTTCCCATGCGGCGTCTAAGAGATCTTCGACTGAGTCATTGTTGTATACGTCTAGGATGTTGCGGAGATCAATACCACATCCCGGCATGCTTTGACCGGCTCGATGCATGTCTATCCGTCGTCCATTTAGCCTCGTCACTTTTGTCCTACTCACTTCCTTCACAGCTTCACATCCAAGAGGAAAGCCCTCGTCCAGGCAACGCCCAAGCTGTGCTACACAGCTCGCATTGCCTAACACAACGAAAGAAGCAAGGGCGCTTTACCGGCCCACAACAGCCACCGTCGAAGAGGGCGCATCCGAACAATTACACTCAAGCTCGGTGGTTCGAGGCATTTGCGTTTCTCTATGCCTGTCTTTTTTTGCATCAAGGCGCCACAGGCACACCAAATTTATATAGCGCCGACCGGAGGTCTGGGGTCACTGCAGTATGTAATGTACATAGAGGCAGTCCGACCGAGGCGGGTCTGAAACGTAGAGAACCAGTCGAGAGGAGACCGAGAACGTAACGTAGTCTAGGTCAATGTGATGTAGAACCGAGAGGGTTAGAAATGTGTGGGAACGATATTTGATGGTCGACGCTGGGGGCGTCATTGAACGTGAAGGCGAGCTTGTTCGTATGAAGGAATTCGTATAGTAAATGTGCGGGGCCTTTGGCTTGGAGGATGGTAAATTCGAAGCATTCAGGGCGAATGTATATGGGCAATGGAATGGGATGTGGTGGCGAGTCTGGGAGATGTCCGAGAAGAGCATGGAAATGCAGACTTGGGATGAGCCAGGCAATGGTCGCGTTCGAACCTCCCTCAGGGTTAAAGAGAGCGTTCTTGATCTTGGGTCGGTCTGACAAGTCGACTCGTCCCCATCTGTTGAGGTATTGATGTGCGGGTGAGCGGGTTCCTTCGCACGCCGATGCCATTGGCGATCGAGTTGTCACGGAGGCCCTGCAGGATGAAGGCGTGAGAGTGGTAGGTGATAGTGGGTGGGGTAGCGACGAGTTCATTCGGTTCCGATGCTGGTATGACTTAGTAGAGGCGTATGCGGCATGGATCGGCGGACAGCCATGCCTGGAGGTTCTCGCAGGAGGTTATGAAGAGTCGACTGTGTCCTCGAGTGCGGCCCTGTCGCCGGCAAAAATGTGGATGTCCGAGGCATTGCGGAGGGTGGCGAGGGAGCGGATGGCCAATTTAATAATGGCCGCCACTTCGGCATTGAGCGAGACGCAGCGGCCAGCTCAGACGCGAATTGAGCGCAGTAGGGCTAGGCGCAGAAGCCCGCCGCCGAGCGGGATTGTTGGTTGGGCAAGATGAGCCTGTCTGCGAAGGAATAAGCCTGCATGGGGTCGTCCTAGATGGATAGGAGGTTGGTGTCGAAGGCGACGGGCCATTCGTCGAATGCGCGAGCGTCATGTTTGGGCGGTGCTAGTCTCCTAAAGCACAACCAGCCTGAAGAGAAGTCGCTTCTTTGTCTTCCTTAGGCGGTACATCCGTATGGAACACGATGCGGTCGGGGAAGGGATCAATGAGGCGCGTGCTGCGCGCGCACTCCTTGTGGGTAGGGGCGAATTCTTCGTCGAATGGCGACTGGGGCGCGAGTAACTCCTATTGCGGCAGGTCAGTCCTGGACGCGGCCTAAATTTGTAGTTAGAATGAGAGGGAAGGGAGTCGAGGATAAGTCTGGGGTTAGGATTGGTGGCTCAGTGCGAGGATGGGGGTAAAAGGTAAGGCACGGATGCGGAGAAGGTCGCGACGGTGGTGCTGTTTAGAATAAAAGTCGGAAGGAATGAGGGAAACGGCTACATCGAAGGGGATGTGCGGAAGAGCCAGTAAGATATGTATGGGCTATTCTTAGTACGGTTGAGAGGGAAGCATGCAAGTTCGAGTCTGGGGAGCTCAAGGTGGAAGCCGATGCGGAAGGCATCGAAGACAATAGGGGCGATGTGCTTCAGTCTTATGGCGTTCACGGATTGACGAGTCAGGCCTAGTCAGGAGTAGCCATGTTCGAGTCTCCATGTCGCGCGTCGCGCGAGCACAAGCTCGTGCAAGCTCGTGCATCCGAGCTGTCGCCGGTTAGGGTTAGGGTTCCTCCGGTCTCGCGCCAGACCGGAATCCGCGGCGCGCGCCGCGTCTTCACTTTGGATTCAACTTCCATTGCCGACCGTTTGTGCTCGCGCGGTCCCCTATACCTTATCCCTCTCGCATTCCGCATCCATTTATACTGTGGATTTGCCATGGGAAGACTTCCCCAAGGGCATAAACCCAGCAAAATTACCGGTGGCTTCCGTCAGCATGATGTACAGGGTGACAACAACCTCAAGAAGATACAGAAGGCGCTTTCGGGCTCGATCTGGCGCCACAAGAGCGCCGTCTTGAAATCTCTACCGCTCAAGACTGCACTATTCGACGTTGGGCAGCCCCTAGAGTCCCAACTTCTGCAATTCAAGTTGAAAGACGAGTTTGCAGGAGCCAAAGACCTCTTCCAGGTGAGCGTTAGCTTGACAGCATGATAGAATAAGTGCTGATAAGTATCCTAGGCTGTAGCACGAGCTCAAGATGAGCTCGAACGTTCATCCCTCACCCGTGCGGACAAGGCATCTCTGCAGACCATTCGATTGCTCGGACTCTCGCATGATAGTCACCAGGACGTGCCTCTATACAGTCCCTCTGACATATTGAAGCTGTCTCAAACAGACCTCTCGTCAAGCGGTGACTTTCGAGGAACACATGATAGCTTATACCGCCTCATCATTCTGGACTGGGTCTTCAATACCGTTCTGACGATTCCTCCTTCCAAGCGATCAGTCTCACCTTCTTTATGGCCAACACCTGTCTCCGGTCCTACAGCGGTGGTTCGTATCGCTTCTCGAGGCATTGTTAAAGCTATGCTCATCCATTTCATCTACAGCTGTATTCGGAACTAGTGAACAACTGGCCACAGAAGTTGCAACACACCGTTAATGCTGTGCTGCAGATTTCCGAGGGTCGGAAAGCGTACGAGCAAGCTTACGGTGCAGTTGTGGAGGAGGAGGAGGAATCGATGGAAGAGGGAAGTGAGCTTGAACGAAGTGAAGGCATGCAAGCAATCGGGACCAGGGCTCTAGCGCCCGGTTTGGCGGGAGCAGTGGAGCAATTTGCTCGTTTCGATGCCTTGACAGACGTTGGGCCATCTATTACGAACATGATTCTCGCTGCACTTGCGCTGGCATATCTGCTCAAGGTAAATTGAATCCCGTGCGAATGTCATCATCATTCATAGACCCTGATTTCCCGTACACCAGGTTGAGAGCAATAGCCAAACGAAAAGTCTGCGCGACTTCGCCGACCATTTGCTCTGTCATGAGCAACATTCGTAAGAACCACAACCAAGTTCTCAGTGTAGTCTCACATGTCGCATAGATCCGCGTTTAAGAAGTACTTTCAAAACGTATCACAGAACCACAACCGCAAGGCTTTGGCTCTGCAGCCGCTGCTTTTATCGGTCTTCATATCCCCAATCCTCCTCCTCCTTGGTTGTCGGGTATTCAATAGCACCGAGCCTTGGCGGCTCATGCATATCCTAGCGGTAGGTATGATTCAACTCACCCGCAACATGCCTGACTAACCGAATGTATACTGTAGATATTTCAGAGGCGTGTCGAAGGTCCATCGTGCAACATAAAGTGCATTGAGGATTTGATCAGCCGCACTATCATCCGGATCGCGGTGAACGAAGCCGATGCATACAAGTCCACCATCTCGATGCTGGTGCACTTGACACCTTTGCTCAAAGAACTGGTCCCCGGTGACTCCAAGTACTTCGAGGGTCCGTGTATAGGTTTGTATGGCACTCGGTATCTGCTCAAGGCACTCTTCACTCACATTGTGCCAGACCCTGAGCCCGTCTCTCAGACTCTCGGGCATATAAGCCCAGAAATAGATGATCCTTCAGCGTCTGGATCGACTCCGAAGCAGACCGAGATTGCTACAAGGACCGAAGAGGAGATGCTTTGTGACCATATCAATCGTGCGGCACAGCAAACCTTCGGACTGTCATCAGATGAAGAGGATGAGGACATCGCAGTGATTACGATACGCATTGAATCTGTCGTGCTTTACTGACGGTGATTGATACAGAGTGCTCCGGGTGCCGATACCCCATCTGGTCTGACCGACAAGACAACTTCCTCTAATACGCACAGTGGCCCTCCCCTTGAACAACTGGATACAGACCCTGTAGAACCCGTAAGTCCTGTTTGTCTCAAAATCATAGCAGTTGATGTTTATCACACCTATAGTCGCCAGCACCCGAGTCAGCCACCGTGCAGCCAGGAGGACGTCCAAAACGAACTGTAGTGAGTGTACTATTCTCATTAACAAACCAAAACGTGCATTCTCACCCGTACCGTAGGCAACTACAAGCCGGGTGACGCAGCCGCCGCCATGTGGACCGCCGCGCAAGCCATACAAACGAACTCGTACAGCACGCACGCCCGATGTTCTGCCCTCGGATGGGGAAGAAGATGTTGACGACGACGTCTCATCTTCGGACGAGTCCGATGTGTTGCTGCTTGACGTTATCCGACCGGAACCTGCTATATCGAGGAACGGCATCCGTCAGGTCTGGAAAGGGGAGGGGCCTCGAGATGTGTATTCAGATGAGCACGCGCCGAAGATGGCAAACGGTCTACAGCTTACTGGCAAGTCACGTCGTAAAGTGAGCTCTACATAGATCAAGTGCATGCAGCGCCTGAAATAATTTGTCTCTAGAGCCGCCCATTTGTTCTGGTAAATGGATGTACGGCTAGCGGTGGCATCAGGACGTTCGAGGTCAAACTGCCACATCATGGCCCAGAGGTTTGTCTGTCTACTGAGACATCCATCTCAACGCCACATTGCTGAGATATATCATACAGCAGCATGAGTACCGGAGGCTGTGGAGCGATATAGGAGCAAGTATGTCCGCTCAAGTAGCGGCCGGTCCTATTCAAGAAGACATTAACCATGGCTGTCCTTACTTCATCAAGGTCTTTTCCATGCAGGAGTGGATCCATGCATTCGACCTCTTACATGGGCAGCCAGTCTTCGAGGCCATGCGGGATCGCAAGGCTATATGGATCCAAGGCAGCGAGATGGACAATTTCTTTCAGGAGAAGTGGGAATGGACTCTGAGATGCCTCGAGCGAATTGTTCCGGCCGGTCAACACATACGTGTGCAAGGTCAGTTAAATACATTCCATTGGTGGACAAGTACTGAAAATATCAGATCCGGAGCAGGAAGATAGTGACATGACGGCATCGCTACATACATGCACACTGAAGGAGTTCATGGATGCGGCAGACTCTGGGCGGATTCTCAATATGCTTGATGCCCCGGCATCATCTGGGATCGAGAATGTTCGTAGCTGGAGGTCCGTTCTCATGATTTGAATTACTGCTCATAGGATACTGACATTTGTTGTCTATAGAGAGTTCTCTAGTAATCATCACTCTCAAGCTGCGAGAGAGCGGCACCTACGCATGAATAGTGACAACCCAAATGTCGAACCAGAGAACGTCAGTGATCGCGCCCTCTACCAGGAGATCGCCACTTCCTCAAGCTGGTCCATAATCTCGCTCGAGGGAGCAAACTCGCTTCAGCACACTGACGCGGCGGGTGTCTGGACTACTATCATGGTGCCACATGGTGGGAAACTGTGGGCCATGCGAAGTGCGATGCGTACGGACTCACGCCACGATGTCCGACATCTGGGATTTGCTCGAGATTTCGACATGTATGACGCCGATGTAGCCAGCAACTGGGCTACAGTATATCTAGAAACGGGTCACTCATTGTAAGAGCACTCTCAACTACCTTCTTCCAAAGCCTGATTTCCCTCTAGTATAATGCCACCGATGACGGCTCACGCAGTTGCTACCATCCAGAGGACCATCATGAGGGGCCACCACTTCTTCTGGCATGGAGGCTTAGCTGACAGTCTTGTCGGGAATGTGCTCACCTTGGTCGATCCCGGCATCACTAATACCAGCCACGTCGACCTGCTTTCAAGTATCCAGTCGTTCGCGACGTTTTGGTGCACTGGTGTTCCCAGTGGTTCTGTGGACAACTTGGCTGATGATGACGGGCAGTCAGAAGGTATGTCCACCAGCTATGATGACAGTAAATCTAAGCATCTCATTCTCTCACCTTTACAGCCTACCGCTCATATCCGAAACTCGGAGGCACGGCCGATAACTCCTCTAGCAGGCTAGAACTTGAAAAGTTATATTCAGTTCTCACCTCCCTCGTCTTCTACCGCTCCCTTGCCAATCTCCGAGGAGCGCATGCGGTTTTATTGGGCTCGCGTTGTCTCGATCGCGCCAGCGCCCGCACTCTTTGGCTGAGGTTTGCAAAAGAGGGCTGCATATGGGTGAATGGGCAATCGCCGGACGATGCTCTCCAGCAGTTATGGGCGAAGTTTCCCGACTCGGATCGGTCAGATCGGGTTACTTTTGCTGGTTTGGCTGGCGCACTCCTTCACTTTGGAAAGGGCCTTCTAGCTCTGACAGACGAGGCCTATAGGAGGGAGGTTTGGAGGGTTACCAGACCTAGATATTCCAAGGGTACAACAGCGCGAGGTAGGAAAGCTCAGGTAGAGGCCGCTCAGAGAGCCAAATCGGACAATGAGGCACTTCAAGATTTCTATTCCCGACCCCTGGACGAAATTGCGCCGGTGTCTTCTGATCTCAATGGGGCAGTACACCCCGATGAGATGCTGCGCTATATGATCCATGATCTTATGGAGGCTTTAACATGGCCAGAGGAAGTTGTCAGGCATATGCTCGGGAAACCGTCTTCTATGGACATACCCTCCCTTCACTCCATCATCCCAGATTTGACATGGAGAGGCTACCCTACTACAAAAAACTGGGAATCCGGATCGGAACCAGTACTTTGGCGCCTCGTACAAAACCGGCTGACACCTCACCATTGTTCTTCTGCACTTCCACTCAAACGCCCATCAGACTCACAGACTCGGCCTCGGAAGCGATCTCGTACTGCAATACCTTAGAATAACACCCTTATATGTTTGTGCCGGAGTATGTACTATACCTTACCGTGACTAGTTCATGTTCAACACGACTATTATCAAAGATTGAGGTTGAATTCGAGAAAGGGTTCTTAGACACTAACATCACTTTGTATTATGGAATAACAGAATGTGAGACGTCATGTCAGAATGTAGTGTGTTTGATGAAGACAATTGTACGCCCGATCAACAGCATATTTATTCGCTGGGCTGAAAGGGTCGTTCACAAGAACACGGCGGCCATGAGCACATGCCTGCGTCGGCCGCAACATGTGCATTCTGACCTCTGCTTGAGCTACTACCGCGCGCACCAACATCGACGCTAGAGTAATTCGACACCAGCGCGGCGAGCACAGACGTCACGTCAAATTTAAGTTAATACATCCAATGATGCATAGCTGAGATGCGCACCTGTCTGCTCATCATCGGCGTAGCTCGTTGAGATGGTTTCGGAAACTAAATATTGAGCTGGCACGAACTCAAGCCACTACACGATTTAGCCACTACTTCGTCGCCGTAGTTGCTTGCTAGGACTCACTATCTCATACGGCCCATTCGTGTCCTTAGGCGTCTGCTGATCCGGAGTGAAGGGTGAGCTACTACCGGTACTTAGATGATACTAGGTGTAGGGGGTGTGATTCCGAATGCGTACTAGATGGCGAGGTTAGCCTCTGACAGAGTCAGACTGTTTTCGCCGCCTGCGCCGAGACTTATGAGAGAAACCCAGTGGAGAAGTCATGAACTGACCGTCAGCAAGCGCCACGTTGAACCCCACAGCCTCTGGGATCTGTCGAGCATAGAATGATTGAAGATCTATGATCGCATATCGGACAGGGAAGCAGACTAGCAAATGTAGGTCAACACATAACGTGGAAATTAGAAAACTACTGGGGGTAAGCTTTTGCACCGAGCTGATTGACAGCAGTGGCTACAACCATATAGTTCGCGGTCTACTGTAAAAGCGATATCGCAGCTAGGCGTCGACGGCGACGTCCGAGCCAGGAACGGAGATCTTGCCAACCAAGCTGATAAGTCGAGGTCGTATTTGTCGCCGGCGGTTTAGAGAACTGGGACGTCGTTTCAAGCGCGAGAGGATGGTTCAAATGCGCCTTCGGATGGACGGCTTCGACGTGTGAGTGAATGTGCTCCTGAAGCGAATAATTTGTCATGCGGATGAGGGTCGTGTCGCTGCTGACATGTTCCCAAACGTGGCATTTCTGCGACAACTACGGTTAGTGCTTGTATAAGAAGCGATCAGGATCACGCGCACCGTGCCGAGCATAGCTTCAGCAATAGCAACCGGAACGCGCACGGTAGCATAGTCCCGAGCCGCAGACAGTTTCGTCCCCTTCTCTCCGAAATCATGCCCCTTCAGCCACCCAGTCACGGCTGCGAGACTGGTGGCGTGAGGTGTTACGAGCGCCTTGACTTGACTCTTCGACCAGTGCTGACCGTAGCGGACGTGCGAGGGGTCGCTGACTTCGTAGAGATGGCGCTCGAGCTCGTCGAATCTTGCTTGAGGTAGCCTGAACTTGAGCTTCACGATATGTCCAGTGGGAGTCGGCTCTCGTTTGATCCAGTTGCGACGCACTGGGACACGTTCCTAGAGCTGATACGGCGACGCCGCCGCGCACGCGACCAAGGCGCCGAGAGCGAAGAGCGACGAGGTGAAGAATCTGCATGCCGGAAAGAAAACATGTGAACGAGAGACAACGATGCATACTCGCACGAGAATAACAAATCGCAGGCCACAATACTGCGAGCGAATTTCGCCATCGTATTAGTTGGCGGGGTTCTTGAGCGGTAAATTCCTACAAAGTGACCATTATGACCGGGACTTGAGCCATCCAGACAGAGTTGAACTATGATTCTATAGCCAAAAATAGAGTGATGGAGCGAGTTCATTGCTTCCATATGGGATTCGGGAACGTGTTGTATGTTACACGGCCAGGTAGATCAGGACGTATAGGATCGGGTTGAAAGGGGTGTAGCGTCCATGCGAGCGAATGTGGGGAGGACTACGAGCATTATAGGAAGGTGATGCAAATGATAGACTAGCGGTACAAGCACCATCGACGTGAGATAATGGCACGGCAAAGGTCGTTTGGTCCGTCACAACCTAGCAGAATGTATGAGATAGATCCATTTGGTTAAGAAGCTGACGCACCATCTACTCTGAGCTAGGTACCATCCCTAATTCTTGCACGTCTACATGCCTGCACTCCTAATCGTTCCGTGTGTCGCAAAGAGCAGCATAATCTACGGCGTGGAGGACCGGCGGTAGACAACGAGGTGTCGCGATCCTGCCGGATAATGGGTTCTAAAGCTTCATAGCGGTAGATTTCTACTGAATTATATATCCTAGGTTCGAGTGCAGCAAGGTGGGAGGCGTCGTTGAGATTCGAGCGACATGACGACAAGAGAAAAGCGTTGAAAAGCGCGTGCGCCACAACTTGTGCGTGAACCACGTCTCCCGCGCGGGCCATGCTGTCGTGCGCGGCGGCGACCTTACGCAAGCATTTTAAACCTCACAGCCTTCTCACACTTGCAGCCACCTCTCACT